TCGGAATCAGGCACCACGGCTGCCACAATCTCACCTTCATCGCCATGGCAATTTGGGGGAAGTTGCTCAATCTCCTGATTCCTAGTAGGGGATATGTTTTTCTCAGCATCATTGAACTTATCATCACTGGAGCATAGGGTTGGAGTGTCTGAAACTACATAAACAAAAGGATAATCTTCAGACTCCATCAAATTGGGTACATGAGAGAGCAACTTCAGATCTGGGAGGAAGAAGATCACAGATCCAAGATCTGGATCTAAGATAGTAAAGGAGAGAAACGATGAATGAGCTGGTTGGAGGAGAAAACGAGGCCTTAAATGAAGAAGAGAGGAGATAACGAGGAGATAGAATACGGAGTACTTTAATGAGTGGATGTGAGTGGGTGGGGTTTAATGTGGGGGGTTGAATTAATTAAGGTGCATAGTGGGGTATGTGAGGCAAGTGAAAGTGAGAGGGGTATAAAAGACATTTAACTTTAAATTTATTGCCTAAAATGGAAATGGGAACATTAATTGTGGACATTCCTAAAAGGAAAGTGGAAACTTTATTTATGGACGGAGGGAGTATAATTTACCCCAAAAATTATTTCGTTGTACCCGTAATTTTATAGTAATAACTTCCAAGTCCATATTATCTAAAATATACTCAGAGGTTTTTTTTATTTTATGATAAGAACTCTCAAGTTCAACATTCTCTGATATATATTTTGGGAGTCCTTAAAATTACTCGTTATGTACTTTAAAGATATATTTCGTCTATTTAGTTGTTATGATTAAAGTTCCAGTTCTTTGAAAAATACTAAATTATATCTTGATAATAATTATTTTATTAAATTTAAATAAAATCTTCAATTTGTCAAAGTAAAGAAACTTTCAATCTTAATGCATAAATGGATGGACTGTACACTCGGAGTATATACCACAAACTTTAAGAATTCCAGAGTATATTTCGGTTAATGTGGGATTTGAGAGGTTTTACAAAAAAATTGAGTGTACCTCGAGGTATACTTCAGATAATGTAGGACTTAAGAATTATTATCACAAAATATAGGGTAACACAAAGTAATTTTCTATAATTTACCCCATGTCTAGTCATACACTCTTAATTTAGCAAGAAAATTATTCTGGGATACCCTTGATTTTCTTGTAATAAATCCAGGTCTACATTATCTTAAATATGCTTTGGAGTACTCTTGACTTTCTGGTAAAAATTCCAGTACTCTTAAATATGCTCTTTGTGATGATTTACATTGAGGGTAAATTTTGTCTATTTGGCCATTATGATTGAAAGTCCTATTACTTTGACAAATGCTAAATTTTACATTGATAATCATTATATTATTAAATTTAAATAAAATTCTTCAATTTTCCAAAGTAAAAGAACTTTTAATCTAACTTCTAAATTGAAAATAAATATCCTCTAAGTATAATATTACAAATTTTAAGGACTTAGAGTAGATTTCAGATAATGTGGAACCTAAGAGTTCTTACTAAAAAATCAAAGATACCTCAGAGTATATTGTAGATAATGTGGAAATTAGGAATTATTAACAGAAAATCGTGAGTACCAGAAATTAATTTTTTGATTTAACAATCCTCTACAAAGTGTTCCATCGGGTTATCAAGTCGTAGATGCTAATTCCGATGTTGTGACACAACATTCCACTAGTTCATTGACCATACTATTTTTTACTCCCTTGTGCAACTACTAAAATAATTCTAGAGTCACAACTACTTAAATGTTTACTTTTTAATTATTTAACATCATTTTATTTATTTGGTGAGATGTACAAATGAGAAGTTTATGTATTTTGTGACCGAAGTGTTTGTGACTCTTGCATTTCACAATAACATTACCACCTCTAAGAGAAGGAAAGAAATATATATTTAATATAGAATATTTATGCGTTCAATACGATCTATATTATGCATTTTTGCTTTCGCTCTTCCACTTATTTTCCGACCGTAAAATCTTACTATGCCCTGTTATCGTAGCTAGGGGTGTACAAAATCCGGGTCAGACCAGAAAACCGGACCGGACCGGACCAAAAAACTGGTTTCGGGCTAGACCTGTAAAATTTTGGACCGATCTCTGGTCTAAAGATTTTGGACCGGTAAAATTCTGGTTCATTCTGGTCCAAGACCGGATCGTTTCTGGGTCAGACCCGTAAGACTGGAATGTCTATTTTTTAAAATTTTTTTAATACCTATACTACGGGGTATACATATAATTATAAACATAATTGTATATTTTCATTTTTTCTTCTTACTTTAATACGAACTATAATTTTTTTAATGTAATTTATATTTTTAATTCATTTCATTGACGTTTACTCAAGAATATCCATAATTATAAAAAAACTAAAATTATTTCCCAAAAATTGAAATAGAATCTTTCGATTAAAAGTATTTAATACTTTGACATATAAGTTAGACTTGCTAAAGCCAAAATATTTTAAAGAACAACTTTATAATATTTTTGAAATCTCAAAACTAACCGAAGTATAAAATTCATTTTAAACCCTTTGTATTGTTGATAAAAATATTTTATATTAATATACTTTCTTGAAACACACCCAATGTATATGAAACTTAAATGTAAGGTTGAAATCAATCAAGCTACAATGTTGGAAAACAAGTTAATAAAAATTGACAAAAAGAATTAGAAAAAATAAATTTCCGGTTTTTAGCCGGATCGGACCGGAAAAAACCGGTTCGGACCGGTCCTGACCGGAATCTAATAGGTCCGGTTTCCAGTCCTATGCGCTAGGGGATTCTGAGTTTTCAGTTTTTCCGGTTCCGATCCGGTCCGGTCCAGTTCTGGACCGGTGTACACCCCTAATCGTAGCACTTAATCTACTATTCATTAGAGATTTAGAGGTTAGGTTGACTATGGGTCATAAATAAGGCATAAGAAAAAAGGAGTTTATTGCACTAATATTCTTATCATCTGGTAAATGTAAACTGTTATTTCTCATGCTTTCAAAACTTAATCGTTCTTCATGATTTTGATATTCATATGTCAATGCCTCTTTATACTAAAATGCTCTTCAGAAAAAATATAGCTCTGGTGTCCCATGTGGTTTTGGAAATGAGCACTAATGTCTCATCTCTTTTCTTCATTATTGCTTCTTTTTTTCTTTTTTCCATAAATGTTTTAAAGTTAGTTTTTAAAACTATTTTTTATAATGTTTTAAAAATAAAATAAAAAAATAAATATATACTTCATTTATCTCAAAATTAAGTATTTTCATTTTTTAAATATAAATGTTCTTATTTTTTTTGAACCTATTGGGCCAAAAGAATATAAAGTAATATCTTTTTTGGAGTGATGCACAACAAATTTCCTTTATGACTACATTTTATAAACATATGAGCCTCAGTGTAAAAAAAGAAAATGATAAATATAAAATAAGGAAAATAATAGGAATATGTTGGACATCAATCCAAATAGACCTACTCTGTATTTTTTTGGCCCAATGGATTTAAAAAAAACTAAGGACTTCTTTAAATAAAAAATGAAAACGTTTAACTTGAGGTAAATGATGTATACACTAATTTTTTTATTGAATTAATTTTTAATTTGACCAAACTTTTAATTTATGAAAACATATATGAAAAAGAACGTATAAATATTTATGAAAAAGAGAGAAAAACAATAAAGAAGAAAAAAGAAGTTGCGTCTTTGCCCATTTTCAAAATAAGAGGGCACCAAAGCTGTTCATCTTAAGATTTGAAAGCGTGGGACTAATAACACACATTTACCACTTACCAGGGATATTGGAGTATATACTATATCATGCGTGCAAGAACGACATAGAAAAAAATGCTTGTTACTATGAGTATATCTCAAATGCTTGTTACTATGAGTATATCTCAATTGCTTGTTTTAGGAGGAGTATATTTTTTTCTTTTTTCTATTTTTTACTAATTTCTTTTTAAGCCATTTTTTGTCGTGAAGCAATTTAAAATGTCACTGATTACTTAATTGATTTTGCCACTTACAAAGAGGGTGTTAAGGAATGATAAACTTGTAGATAATGTGATTTTCACAAAAGCTGAAAGCCAAAGTATCTCATTGTTGGGATATTTGATTAATTAATCAAAAAGAAAGAAAAAAAATCACAAAGAGGACAAAGAAGATCAAAAGTGGGATATTTGATTGACTTGGTGCATGTCATCAAATCAAAGAGGATTTTTTTGTTTCTTGACTCCTTCTCAAGCCATGCAAGCATACGGAGCTTTTCTTTTGTTTTAAAAGTAAGGCAATATGTGGGTGGGCAAAAAAAATACACACTAAGAGAGAGAAGGAGGGTTTAGAGAAAGGTGCTACACAAGATATCACCAGGATTGTGTGAGTGAGTGTATGGAGTAACTGGTTTTAGTTACTCAAAAAATACATCCAGGTGTAGGGTGTGAAAAGTTTGTTTATATAAGTGTCTGGTATTTAGCGCTTGTAAACAGGGGAGAGTTTTTTGTGTATCGTTCTGAAATAGTGAAGATATAATTTTTCTTATATTTTCTTCTTGTGTAGTGAGTTTATTTACTTCCTCCGTCCCCCTGAGATGTTCTCATTTTGACTTTTGGTGGTTTTTAAGGAGAGTTGAAAAAGGTGAAAGTTTACCATAATACTCTTAATGAAAAATGGATGGAGTGTATTAAATGAGGTGGGTGAGGTGTAATAAATAAAGTAAGTGGGGGTAGTTGTGGTATTTTAATTGTTAAAAAATGAAATGAGAAGATCTATTGTGGACAAAGAAAAAGGGCTATTGGGAAGATTTATGGGGGGACGGAGGGAGTATTTTTCACGTTCTTGATATTTTAAGAGTGTTTCGCGCATAAAATCCCAACAATTGGTATCGGAGCCAAGTTACATTTGGGGCGGAGGGATTTCTAAGCGGTAAGAGAAGAAAGCCGAGAACTTGAAAAATGGCATCGCTAAAAAGTTCGAATGTTTCTGTCGAACCTTTCGATGGACATGGCGATTTTACTCTGTGGCAACAACGAGTAAAAAGTGTTCTTACTCGGGAAGGGACAATCAAAGCTCTGAAGGTGAAGGTTCAGAGGACCAAAAAAATGACGGATGTTGAGTGGGCCAAACACCGGAAGAATGACAAACCAGAAAAATTGTCGGATGAAGAGTGGGAGGATTGAAGGACATGGCAACAAGTACAATATGCCTATGTCTTGCAAATAATACTCTTCGGGAGGTTCTCGGTTTGACGGACCCAGTGGATATTTGGGACAAGCTGGAGAGCTGGTACAAGTCAAAATCGTTGACAAGTAGGCTATACTTGAAGAAACGATTGTTTGGTCTCCAAATGGCGGAAGAAGCTAACTTTAATGGGCACTTGGACGAATTCAACAAGATTACAACAGAGTTGGAATCCATTGACGTGAAGATTGAAGAGGAGGACAAGGCGCTGCTTTTATTGGCTTCATTGCCTTCATCTTTTGACAACATCGTGACCACGCTCTTGTTTGGAAAAGAGACCTTAAAATTTGATGAAGTAGTTGCTGCGTTGTTGATGAATGAGACTCGGCGGGGTGGCAACGGGGTATCAAATGATGGTCAAGCTTTGGTAGCAAAAAGAGCTGGTCGGGAACGAGGACGGTTTAAAGAGAGGGGCGGCACATCCCAACGCTTCAAATCGAGTAGTAAAAGCTTTCGGTGTGACTACTGCGATGAAGAGGGTCATTTCAAAAGGGATTGTCCAAAGAGGAGGAAGGAAAAGAAGGACGTGAAAACACCTGTGACTGCGGTTGCAGAAAGTTCGAACCAAGAAAGTGAAGAAGACTTATTTTTGGCAACCGCAAAGAGCCTAGGTAAATCAGATTGGATATTAGATTCGGGTTGGTCGTTTCACATGTGTTCAGTTAAGGAAAAGTTTGATACCTATCAAACTTGTGATGGGGGTGCTGTGAAGATGGCAAATGGTGCACTGAGCAAAATTGCTGGGGTCGGAACAGTCCAAGTTCGCATGTTTGATGGCGTGGTGAGAACATTAACTGGAGTGAAACATGTACCGGTTCTGAAAGGAAATTTGATTTCTTTGGGGGCTTTAGATTCAGAAGGCTGCCGAATTTTTGCTCAAGGTGGAGTGTTAAAAATCTCTAGGGGAGCAATGGTAGTAGCAAAAGGAGTTTTGTCAAATGGCTTGTATAAACTTGTAGGAAAAGATTTGGCACGAAAGCTATCAGAAGGAAAAATTACAAGTGCAACAAGCAGAGCATTTGCATGGAAGAAGCGGGTGATGTTTGAAGCTTCTCAGGTTGGTGGAGACTGTGACCTTGCCGGAACGAGCGAGGTGGAGCCGGACCATGGTTTGATTAATTAATCAAGGTGGAGTTTGTTGGGATATTTGATTAATTAATCAAAAAGAAAGAAAAAAAATCACAAAGAGGACAAAGAAGATCAAAAGTGGGATATTTGATTGACTTGGTGCATGTCATCAAATCAAAGAGGATTTTTTTGTTTCTTGACTCCTTCTCAAGCCATGCAAGCATACGGAGCTTTTCTTTTGTTATAAAAGTAAGGCAATATGTGGGTGGGCAAAAAAAAATACACACTAAGAGAGAGAAGGAGGGTTTAGAGAAAGATGCTACACAAGATATCACCAAGATTGTGTGAGTGAGTGTAGGGAGTAACTGGTTTTAATTACTCAAAAAATACATCCAGGTGTAGGGTGTGAAAAGTCTGTTTATATAAGTGTCTGGTATTTAGCGCTTGTAAACAGGGGAGAGTTTTTTGTGTATTGTTTTAAAATAGTGAAGATATAATTTTTCTCATATTTTCTTCTTGTGTAGTAAGTTTATTTATTTTTCACGTTCTTCATATTTTAAGAGTCTTACGCGCATAAAATCCCAACACTCATACCTGCTTCTTTAAAACGGTGTTCTATGTACAAAATAGTGATGGTAAAAAGCAGAAGTTGACATGCCAAACAGAGTAAAACCACTCCCACTCAAAGCGGAAGCTACATTATTCAAAGCAGCACACTGCCAAACACCCTCAGAGTTTTGTTTAGCTTATGGATTCTAGAATGCGATGTTAATTATTCAAAAGGGAAAAAGACCGGGGAGTAAAAGACGATGAAAGAACCAAAATTGCTTCTTACTTTGTTTTTCTAGAAAATAGACACTCCCCCTCCCAATTTAAGTTATTTGTCAAACTTTAAATACGTCCTTTACCTTTTTTCGACACACATTTAAGAAAATAAAATTGTCATAAAATAAATTTGTCTGGTTACCACCAATAATGCTCTTATACTCTTTTTTAGTTCTTCACACGCCATAGTTGTTGGGCTAAATCCCATGATAGATGCTTTCTTTGAGAGATAAACTATGAGATTGATATTGTGAGAGTTTGGCTGGACGAAGAACAAGGAACTCCAGACGTAATGCCACTAACTTGCAGCAATCATCTGCTATGACGAGGGTGCTTGAATAGCACAATGCCACTTAAACTAATGGGTTAGAGTCAGTCCTAAACAACATCGCCAACATGATGGTTAACTTCATGGAAAGGCTTGAGCGAGCTCTCCCAGGACCCTCCAGAGTTCCTAGAAATTTGGTGGGGCATCCGTGACAGATCCTCCAAACGGCTAAGGGGCAGACCAACCCAATCCTTTAGAAGCTTCGTACTCTTGAAGAGATCGAGAGAGAGGGAAGCCATCAGGAGGCGCTTGGAAGCTGAGTTGGCCCAGAACAATTGGGAAAACAAGGGACAGCCCAGGACGATAGGCCGATCACTGACTAGGATTCAGGCAACCAGCTAGCCGCACAATACAAAGATTGGGAACCCGAGAGGCACAATGTTTGTGTAGATGTCCCGAGGGCGGGTCCTGATTAATTAAAGGTTGGGAAGGAACCTAGGAAAGGCACCCATGGGCTGGGAACGACCCAAGCTTAGCCGGGTGGAATCATCCCACTAGGAACAACGTAGAAGCCAGGTGGAGGATGAAGCACAGAGCTTGTTGAGGGTTCTGACAGCCCAGTGCTTCGGACAGCCAAACCTGGAGATAGGAGATTTTCAAGATCTTTGGTGGCAGATTCAAGAGATGTAGCGTAAGGTGAACCATAGACGGGTATTTACGACCCGTACCAATACTCCCCTCGCCTAAAAAATTTTTGTGGAACCCTACTCTAAAGGATTCAAGGTTCCCTTCATCAAATGGTACGACAGGAAATCGGATCCCCAAGAGCACGTCAATATTATGTGTAGGTGATGATTACCGTGGATGCCACGGATGCGTTGATGTGTTGCTGCTTTCTTCAAACCATAGACAATAAGCTGGTAGTGGATTAGGTGAATCATATCCCGTCCGGATCTATCCGGAATTGGGAAGAGTTAGGCTTTCGCTTCTTGGAACACTTTGTGGGGAATTGCTAGCCCAAGACGCACTTCACACACTTGGCCTCCGTCCGTCAGAAGAGTAGTGAATCCTTGAAGAAAGTCTTGGTTCACTAAGGAAAGGTATCCCAGGAAGTTGAAGGTGCTGACGACAAAGCAAGACTGGCCATGTTCACTGCAGCCATGCAAGAAGGGCTCCTCCACATAGATCTTACGACCAATTCCTTTGATACCTTCAAGGAAGCTATGGTCTGGGCAGGGAGGTACGTGAGACTGGAAGAGCGGAAGGAAGAAAGGAAGGAGAAACCTTAGAAGGAGGGGGAAAGCAAGCATAATGGTAAGAAATCATTCAAGGGGAGGAAGTTAGGGTTTCTGGTCAGTAGGGTCCTCTGGAGGAGTTAGGTCGCATAACCTAGTGTCCGTATCGCTGGCAGAAGTAATCACACTGCACATGCAGACCATCAAGGGTTGATGACCTATCCCACCTATTGGAGAAGGTCTGCAACATGGAGGACACTGGAAAGTGGTGTTCCTACCATCCAAAAATGATCACAATACAGAAGACTGTTACACCCTGAAGAATGAGATGGCGAGGTTGATCCGGTGGGGACACCTCAAGAAATTCATCTAGAATCAGTCCGAAGAAGAGGCCTAAGGGAACTCTCGAACATGGAAACGAAAAGAAGGGTAGGTTTCTCAATTGGAGCCTCGGTGCAAGAGGCACATTGGTTTGAATGAAGAGGAGGAAGATTCGGAACCGGACCCAAACCGGAAAAAGAAGCATCACGGATGAAATTATATCATTAGAGGAAACACGTGTGGAGGTTCCGCCACTAGTCGGAAGAAATGGGAAAACGAAATCCATGCCAACAAGGTTATAGTCCCCTACCAATCTTAAGGTAAGAAAATTAAAACAAAACCTATTACCTTCTAGAACAAAGACTTTCCAGAGCCCGGAGTTCCCCACTGGGATGCCCCGGTTATTAGTATTGATATTATGGACTTACTAATCACAAGACATTGGTGGATACAAGAAGTTTGGTGAATATCATGTATATGGACACATTTAAAGCCCTGGGGTTAACCCAGGAAGAATTGGAGCTAATGAAAACTCCTCTAACGGGGTTCACCGGAGATTCCATAGAACCAAAAGGTATCATCACCTTGCCCGTTGAGGTGGGAGACACTAAGGCAAAGAAGCAGCTGAACATGGAATTTGTGGTGGTTGGTATAGTCTCCAACACGAATATTATATTGGGAAGGCCTGGGCTGGAAGATTTGAAATGTATGATCTCGTCCAGGCATCTGTGCATCAAGTTCCCCACGCCACAGGGGGTTGGAGTGGCCATAAGATCACAGAGAGTATCCCGAACATGGTACCTCAAGGCAACGAAACAACCCATGAAGTATGATACCCAGGTGGGTGGGGTAACCTCCCTGCTACTGAAGGCGGAAGAGAAGCGCCCCCCAGGTGGAAGACAAAACATCCAACCGGGTTAGGGTACAAAGTGATAAATGTTGAAATTTTGTAACTCCTACCGGTTAAAATGTCAAGGAAGATACAAAGAAAGGAAATTCAAAGGTTAACCCGAAAAGCGGCTACAAAATTTTAAGATCAAATACTTCAACCGGGAGAGAATGGCTAATGAATCTCTAAGGCCAAGTAGCTAGGTGAATAACTGGAAAACTTACCCTCAAGATTGCTTTACTAGCCGCCCGCATTTAAAAAAAACTTTGAAATATACAGAGTAAAAAACGTACTAACCGGGAACGAAATAAGACTTTGAATGAAGGGATGATGGAAGATAACATGCACCAGGAAAGGAGTTAGAATTCAAAATAGAGACATTAAAAAATAAGAAGGATGCACAAAGATCTATAAAGGAGATTCGATTGCAAAATCATGATTACATCTTGTAACGCCCCAAAACATACCCTAAAATTTATTGAATTAAATATTCAATTAAAAAAATTTGTTTTGATTAAAATAAATTATTATTGGGCTTTGGGCCCGATATGAAATATGTTCTAGAGTCCAAAATCACAATCTGGATAGATCTCAAAGAGATAAATCCCATATGTTGACTTATTATGTGATCTTGGTTGGGAACCTGAGTACATACCTAAATCAAGAATAAATTAAGAAATTGACTTGTGATGTGAACTCTGAAATTATTATTGAAATAAATCATGAGAGTAAATAACATGAATGAAATGAGAGAACCTTTTTGAATAAAGGTCAACTAAATCAATTTTGACTCTGTCAAAGTCAAACACCCAAAAATATGATGTCGGAAAAAGTATAATGAATAAATATAAAAATTATATCGTTGGATAGAGTTCGACTGTTTGATCACAACGGTGCAAACAAAATTCAATTCGGAGAAAGTTGGACCAAAAAGTATACCCCGACTGGGACCAAATTAGTCTCAAATCAGGGAGTAACGTGCTGAATCTCTTTATCGCTGAATGAAGATTGTGAATTGGGAATCCTACGCAGCAGCAACTCAGCTTCCCATGTCTTGTTCCTCTTCCTCTTGCTATATAAGAAACTCTATTCTTCTCATTTCTTCACCAATCTCCTTAGAATTAGTACCATTATGTTCATGCTGAAGTAGAGAAATCATTTGTGCTGTCAATTTGGTGTGAAGTCGCCGGAAGAGAGAGTAATCCTCGCCGGAAGTTTCGCTAGAAAATTTTCAAAACGTTCGATAAACTTTGAGGTAAGCCCGTAGATATATTTAATGACTAGAATGTTCATATAGGTCGTTTTTACGTTCATAATTTGTCATTTGGTTGAGTTTTGTGTTGGACATGCTTGAAGAACTAAGAATCATAAACCTTGAGTTTGATATTAAAACTACGAATTAATGACTCCAAAATGATCTGTGAACATTGGAGAACATTTTTATGTAATTTAATTAAAGTTTGGTGACAAAAAATGATAATGTTAAAACTGACCAGAGGAAGAAAATGATGAACAGTGGGTGAAAATCGATTAGTTCCTTACTAAGAATCGATTAGAACTTTATTCAGATCAGGGGTTCGAAGTACCAGTTAATCAATTTTTCCATTCCAATAATAGATTTATATATATATATATATAATGGATGATTTAAATTATATAAATCGATTTTTATAAATTAAATGATTATTTTAAATGAAATAATCGATTTTCCTAAAGTCCTCTGAAAATGTTTCTGAAAATATGCTCTAAAATCCTATTTTTGATACCAATTAATTATGAACAATGTAAATATGAGTTTGTACAATAAAAATGATGTTTTGACAAGTAAAATATTATGTGATGCATGACGGTAAGTTTGGGTGTTAACACTCGAAGCTAGGCTGCTAATTGTTATTGCTTTGAATGTTATGTTGATTGATGATTATGATGAATGATTATTATGGATGAATATGATTGATGAACCTACTGATTAAAATCATTATTGTGAATGATTGAATCATGATTAGAAATAAATATATTGATGATCATGAAATGATTTGTATTGTTAAGGATATCTAGAAGAACTCTAAGATATACTGATGTTGGTTTCTAAGACTATATAGAAGACCTCTGAGATAGATTAGAAATAGGCCTTGTGGGTATAATTATGAATATTCGGTGGCTTGGGTTAAAACGTACGTACGGGATCTACAAACCAAACTAGAGGCACTCGTTTGGTGATACCACCCAACCCGACAGTTAGTATTCTGCTGTTCGGTTTTCTGGATTGTACCTTAAGCGAAGGCTAGTTTAAGAGTTGGTAAATCGATCGGAAAGTATGTACCTTAAACTAATGACCTAGCTTAAGAGTTGGTTAGAAGTACCTTAAACTAGTATTAGTTTAAGAGTTGGTAAACATTAAAGAAATTGGCCTTAGACTAAGCATAGTTTAAGGATATTGTTGAATGTTGAATATGAATGTTGAATGTTGAATATTGAATGATGAATATTGAACACTGATTATTGAATATCTGAACTAAGCTGGGTATTCGACGCATTATTTGATTATGAATTGAGATTCAATTTATATGGGTGTTCGACGCATTAGATATGCTTACTCAGCTTTACCGTTGAGCGTGTAGTGTGTTTTATTTGCTATACGCAGGTAAACAGAAAGAACAATATGATCCTGGCTGCAGATGGGGCGAGATTGTCTGGATGGATGTAACAAGTTTTAAAATGCTTTATGATTTGTCAATATTAAATTCGCTTCCGCAATATTATTGAATACTCCGTACTGTATATGAAAAATATTATTGTGATAAATAAAATGTGTTTGAAAACTATTAAATTTTACGATTTCCAAATTAATACTTTAGTCCGAAAGGGGCTACATACGTGGACGGATTAGGGTTTTACACATCTTCACTGGGCATACTTGGGCGAATGAGAAAAGTTCTAAAAATTACAAGAAAAGATTTGAATTAAGACAAGGGGAAGGGGGGAGCTGGCTAATGTGCGGGGACCGAGGGCAAGTCATAAGCCTTGCAACTGAAGTCAGGGTCTCGGGCAGTGAGGATGTCATGAGTGGCAGCTCTCTCTCCCAAATCTGCCCAACGTGGAAGCCGTAGGAGCCCAAGGCCATTATCATCCTCCTCCCCTGCGACACCTTGTAAAGGGTCTTGAAGTAGTCCATGGTTGCCTCGGGGGAAGAAAGCAACTCCTGGGTGAGCTCCTTCGGATGAGCCTTGGCCCATGTCATCACCTCAACCAGGAAATTAGACTTCTTCACCTTCATTTCCTCCTCCACTCGGGCAACCTTTTCTCCTAGCTCCTTCTCCTTTCTTCTTCACCTCCCGGACCAACTTGGACAACTTGGCCATCTCCTTGTTCTAGTTGGCAAGGACGAATGCCATCTCATTGTTCTTCGACATCTACTGACGAATCTCCTCCTTCGCCACCTGCAACATGCTTCTAATGGGGCAACATCAGTGGACCTTCCCTCAAGAAGACAGTCGCCCATCTCTTGACCGGTTTTGTTGGCCTGCAAAAAGGAAACGATTAAATTTTGGAGGAGAGGACGAAGTTAGGAAATTTTACCTCTCAGAGACGAACCCCCATCTCGAACCAGAGTTCCTAAAGGGGAACGTGCATTAGTCGGGGGCTCCTCTGGAACTTCTTGGAGGACCATGGAGGGAATCAACCAGCCACTTCTCCCCCAGGTCTTTCTTTTTATTCTTCTTGGATTTCTCCCCTCCGGGGCACTTCATTTATTTCTCCTAAGAATGCTACATCTCCTCCTCGGAGAGGACTTCAATAGTTTCTTGCTGAATCAGAGTCCCCCATCCAGGAGGTGGCACCCGCATGCTCCTGGCGGGTAGCGGTGGAAGTAGGCTCAGAGAAGCTTGAACCGGTCCCACTGGCAGGCTTTCTCGAGGGCATGGTCAATGTGTAGAACTCCATCTCTGCAACAAAGGCACTAGTTGGAACCCATAAGATCGATTAAATTGAAAATTTTAACCTAAGGAAAAGCAAATAACAAACCTGGGGGAGACGAGCACTTGGCCTCCGCATCTTTGCCCGGGGTAGGTACCCAACGCCACTCTGCTTTATGGGCCCTTGAGGTACTTGACACACCCTAGTCTACCCGGCGGACCTAGCTCCCGAAGTAGAACTTTCCCCCCATGTCCAGATCACTCTCGAGAAGTTGCTCTAGTGCTTTCTCCAAGTTAGGAGAATCGATCGGCAGTGCAGACTCATGATTCAACAGGTGGTCACTCCAACAAAGGTCGAAAAGGGGAAAATCTTCGACCAGGAACTCGACGAGGGAGAACGCTGACTTGCACCCCTTGTTACTAGGTGGAAGATCAGAGATGAGAGTGCGACCTAGGCGGGATTTGAAGTATACAAATCCGTCGCACCCTTCTTTCCCGGGAAGGACTTAAAAGAGAAAAAAAGACGGAGGGTGAGGGTGATTCTCAGAGAATAATCGAAGAGTTAACCTCATTTGGTGATTGATAAAAGTGACCGGTCATATTTTGACCTGTCCCTTTCGGTTGTCCGGGTCGGGTATAGGGATATACCCATCAAGAAGTCCTCCACTTACCGGCCTTGTGAGGAAGTCATCAAGGGCGGGAAGTATACTTATGTTAACCCATCACCTTTGAATTCAACAAGTCTTCTCTCATGACCTGTCCTTTTGAATCACCAGGTCTCTCTCATGACCTGCCCTTTTGAATCACCAAGTCCCTCACATGACCTGTCCTTTTAAAATCATCAAGTCATTCTCATGATCTGTCCTTCTTTGAAATCAT